CAACAGGTCAGGTCAATCTTCATACCTGACCTGAATTTTTTTTAAAAATCTCATACCTGACCTGAATTTCAGGTCAGGTCAGGTCAGGTTACCTGAATTTGGCTGACCTGTTCAGAGCTCTAGCTCTACCAACCCGTTAGTCTGCGGGTGATACGCCGTAGACAATTTATGCTTAACTCCAAGGTTTTCGCATAAGGAGTTTAGCATTTCGTTTACAAAATGCGTCCCACGGTCGGTTAATAGCTCTTTTGGGCATCCATGGCGGCATATAATATCTTCGTAGAAAAACGAGACAACTGATGATGCCTTAGCGTTGGGAATTGCGCGGGCTTCCGGCCATTTGGTCAGGTATTCGGTTGCAACGACAATATACATGTTGCCATTTTTCGTCTTAGGCAACGGTCCGACAATATCCATTCCTAGTCTATCGAATGGTTGTCCGACCTTTATCGGATGGAGAGGTTCATTGCGGCGATTTTTGCCCCTTCGTTGGCATTCATCACAGGTTCGCACATATCGGCGAACGTCATTGAACATTTGCGGCCAGTAGTATCAAATTTTTATCCTTCGATACATTTCATCTATTGAAAAGTGGCCTGCTAATGGATCTGAGTGCATATGATATAGAATATCCTCTATTTCATTTTCTTTTGCAACTCGTATCGGTCTATTGGGGTTAACTTTATTCTTTTTATAAAGTTGATCATTCAAGATAATAAAATATCTAGATTTTCGTTTAATAGAAGCAAGTTGCTGCGTATCGAGGTGTGTTGGCATTGAGTGTGTCATCAAAAAGTGTATGAGTGAGAAGTAGGTGTTTAAATCCATGTTGAGTCAAAAATATGGGTAATCCAATAAATCGGCGTCGTATATATGCAAATCGGGTGGTTAATAGAGTTTTTCAACGAAGATGCGTTAAGTTCTTATTCGGCTTAATGTATCGACGTTGGAGTGAAGTTTTCAGGGGCAGTTTATAATCTCAAGTTCATAGCCATTCAAAGTCATTAACCAAAGTAAGAGTTTGCCAACAGGATTCGATAAATTCATTAAATATCGTAACGCAGCGTGGTCCGTAATCACCGTAAATTTCTGACCATGCAGATATTGGTGAAAGTGTCTCACTGACCAAATTACCGCAAGACACTCGAGTTCTGTTATACTATAGTTTCGTTCATGCTTGTTTAAAGTGTGACTTGCGTATGCTATAACGCATTCGCGTTTGTCTTCGTCTTTCTGGGATAGAATTGCACCTAAAGCGAAGGTAGATGCGTCTGTATAAAGAATAAATGGCTTCTCGAAATTTGGGTAAGCCAATATAGGAGGCGTCATCAAACATGTTTTAAGCTTCTCAAAAGCATCATGTTGTTCGTCACTCCATATATACGGGGTGTTTTTCTTTAAAAGTCTATTCAAGGGTTCGGCTATCGATGAAAACCCTTTGACAAATTTACGATAATAAGACGCTAGAGCGATAAATCCTCGCAACTGCATCAAATCTCTTGGTATGGGAAATTCCCTAATGGTTTTTAATTTTTCAGGGTCGGTTTGTATGCCCTTCCAGCTTACAACGTGTCCTAGAAACGGGATTTCATCCTTAAAAAAGAAACATTTTTCAGGACTCAGCTTCAGTCCGGCTAATTTTAATCGAAGAAAAACCTGTTCCAAATGTTGTAGGTGTTCTTCGAACGTCTTGGAGCCCACGTTAATATCGTCTATGTACACCACAACATATTGCCACAATATGTCCCATAATACTGTATCCATCAAGCGCTGGAAGGTGGCGGGAGCATTACATAGGCCGAATGGCATAACCGTAAACTCGTAGGTTCCGAAACGGGTGATAAACGTCGATTTTTCCCTGTCTTTCGGACTAAGTTTGACCTGCCAAAACCCGCTGGCAAGATCAAGGGAGGAAAACCATTGACATCCGGATAACGTTTCCAGCATGTCATCGATTCTCGGCAAGGGATATCAGTCTCGTTTCGTTACTTGATTTAACTTCTGATAATCCACGCAAAGACGTTTCTTGCCGTTTTTTTTTCCACCACTACAACTGGTGAAGTCCATTGACTTTTTGATGGAGTTATTAAACCGGCGTTCAATAATCGTTGTATTTCTTCTTTTATGAACAGCTGGTTTTGATAAGATGTTCAGTAGAATCTTTGTCCAACCGGGGTAGCTTCTCCGGTATTGATTTTATGTGTAACTACCGATGTTCTTCTGAAGTCATTAGGATCCCAGGCAAACAGATCCTGATATCGTTCCATAAAATCATCGAATTTCCGATGTTATTCTTCGTCCAATTTTCTGGTATAAAATTTTCCTTTTTCAATTTCTTCATACTGGTAGTAATATTCATTACTGACGAAATTTCCTTCTTTTAATTCTTCTTCGATTTCTTGCACCTTTTCCTGAGTAATATATCCGGCGTTACAGAATAGCTGCTCTTGTGTCTCCTCGTCGTCACTTTCATATTCTTCTTCCGATTCTTCTACGGCTTCTTCATCAACTTCCTTTTCGGATTCATCCTCAACCTCTTCTTCGGCTTCTATATTCGGTATCTCGATGCTAGTTATGTGGTGGGGCATTTCTCTACATTCGGTGGTCACTTCTAAAACCTGATCTTTCCACTTGATGGTCATCCGATTGTTGTTATAGTCCAGAACGGCCTTGGTCTTACGCAGCCAATCATTTCTGACTATAGCAGAATATGAATTAGCATCGGTAACAATGGCATCCACCGGAATGATGCATTCATGTATCTTCAACGGTATGTCAGTTACAGCGCCCAATGGTCGTCGACGCTCTCCATTTACATTCACCATAATAGTTTTTGAGGCTTTCGTTATTTCCATATCTAAATCTTTCAATAATGATAAGGAAATAATACTTCCAGCCGATCCAGAATCAACGATCAGCGGGAATCTTATGTGTTTAATCGAGGCTTCACAATATAATGCCGAAGTTCGATCATCATTCGGTCCGGCGGTATTAGCCACCTGCATGAGATTTTCAACTTCAGAAACATTTCCATTATTCAGAATTTCATCATCTTTCTTAACCAGTTTTTTATCTTGTTCTTCAGTTTTTGTCCTAACAACCGGTTTTCTTAGCTGTTTGGCCACTGTTAAGCTGAACTTTGGGTTCATTGCCAGCAACTGGCCATTCGTAATATCGGCCTTTTGATCAAAGAACTGCTGCGGCGTATATGGTTCTATCATTTTGTAAATTGGGGCTACTGCGGCAGACTTCTTTTTGACCACCTTCTTAGGTTCGACTTTCTTTACTCCAGTTGACCTTATTGGTTGTTTAGATTTACCAGAGCTTTGTATGGTTCGTACTATTATCTCTTCTTCCGGAGGTTTATCCTTTACGGTTCCAATAGTCAGATCAAGTCTAGATTTACTTCGGGTAGTTCTTGTAGCGGGATATGTTTCCAATAGCGTCAAATTCGAGGGAATTGTTGTCTGGCGTGTACGCTCACCCTCCTGAGGTACGCCTCCTAGTTTAAATGCTGGTCTTCGGTACTTTCTTGCGATACCAATTGGGCCAGCAATTGTTGTATCTGCGCAAGTTGGTCATTTGTATTTGTTGGTTGTGGGGTATTATTATTTCTCGGAATATTATTGGGACGTCCAGCAACATTATTTCTATTCGGACAAGTCCTAGATATATGTCCCGGTTCTCCACATGAATAACATACGACCTGATTCGGTCTACCTTGTGTTGTTTGGACCGTTTGCTGGTTGGCATTTCGGAAACTATTATTATTCCGATAGCCTCTATATCCATTACCTATCGACTGCACTTGTTTAGATAAATCCTGGATGGCCTTAAGTAAATCGCCGGTATGGTCAGTAGTTGTCATCGGCGTAAATTTATTGAGGTATGCGCTGACAGCGCCTTGATCCTTATGCGTTAACTCATACGCTTTAGCTCTATCCACCGCGCCATTCCATGTTTGTTCATTGTGAGGCTTAACGGTGACATATAGGTCAGGCAATAGACCGTTTACAAATTTCCAAGCCTTGATTGCTTCGAGATAGGCGAAAGCATTCGTCTCTACCCTTCGGTATAGTTCTTGTAAGGCGGCGGCGTAGGTATTTACATCCTTGCCAGGTTGTTGTCGCCTTTGTTTTAGTTCTGTGGTCCAGATTTTGACTAGGGTTTGAGTCCTAAAAGCCGCTGGGAAATTCTGGATAAAATCGGTATTGTTATTATTGCCGGTCCACACGGTGATCTTATTAGGGTTATTGTTTGGTAACGCCTGATTAGCATTCCACCATGTAGAAGCAGCGCCCTTAAGATAGGCCGGCACTACTTCCAATTTACGGCCATTTGCTATACCATTAGCATTGCAAGCTCTAGTAAAATCCTCGAACCATGCGACCGGGTCCTGATTGCTTCCATAGAATGATGGCAGTTCAGCCACCTTTCCTCCTCGTCTTGGCGGGTTGGCAATGGCCTGTGTATTCCCGACCAAAGCATTGTTGGTATTCGGCAATACCTGGGTTAATGCTGTGATTGCCGCTCGTAATTGCTGAAAGTCCTGCTGGTTAGGTTGGGCCATATTAATTACCAGTGGAATTACTGGAGCTGGGTTATTCGGTGTGTTGTAAATAGGTGGTAGTGGAATATGTAAATGGGGAATTTCTTCCTCAGAATTCTCTGATGTTGTATCACTTAAAGCTTCAGGTTCTGGTGAGGTAGTAGTCTCACTGACTTGATAAAGGACTTCGTTAGGATCCTGCTAAAAACTGTTGGTTAGATTATAGGCGTTAATAAGATCATGACGCAAAAGGGTATAATCTATTGGTTCTATATCAGTGTATCGGATACTGAACAATAGGTTATGTATGGCGTTGTCAATATCCGCGTTAGTGATTGAATAAGCAACCTCTTCAAAGTATTGTTGAGTGTATCGGGTATATTCTATAACTGGATAATTAGAAGAAATCCAATCCAAAAAGTGTTGAAAGGTGGGGGTTAAGGGAATTTCGGATGGATAACAATTATTACACGATAAATCACGATGATAAGTGGCTATGTTATTTAGCCCTAATTGTCTATGTATAGCGTCGTGTATATCATTGCGATTGAAATGGTTTTAGAACATAAAAGGGGACTAAAATAATGGGAAATCGGGATTCTGGCAGAAGGCACCAATTTGTTATGCCAGTTCTTGTATGCTTATAAAAATAAGCGTATGGGTGTATGGTAAGCAGAAGGATTATGAATAAAATAAATATTAAATAATGTTAATGAACGCAAAGTGAAATAAACTATATGAAATTATTAGTAAATGTATCACTGTCGATCGATTTACGAAGGTTACACAATAAAATAAAATGAAATTTCAGTCAAATGCGAATACGGTATTGCACAC